GCATCTACTAAAGCTGATTCTTATTTCGTAGACTACAAGAAAGGGTGGTAAATCATTATTTGCTCAGATACCACATTATAGCTATTAGAACGCTTCACGCCTTGGCCGAACAGTATATGAAGCATTTTTTTTTCTGCGTTTTACACAGTTCTCTATGCGATAGTGTTACGTCACTAATTGCTAGTGTTACGTCCCTACGGAACGTACCATTTCTTTAGTAGAACTGTTCAATAAACACACTCAGTTCTCCCGTCATGGCATTCTTTAAAGCTCATTTCACAACGTGTAGTCATTACCTGTTTTACCATGAAAATATTGGTTTAATGGTAGTACTTATCCGTTCAAAGTTGCGATGTGAGCCGCCTTGAGTTGGTGTTTCATTTTGTGCTGAAACTCGTAGAGCAGGCTCATAAAATGCTTTTTAACCTACTCGTTATTTTTTAGGTTGCCTATTTCGCCTGTGAGATTAACACCACCATCATCAACATCATTATAAACAGCTTGACTATGCACACTGGAGCACAAATGCCTCACCCAATTTCCGGCAGGTAACTCGGTTCAGTGCTTGCTTCTGCTACTTAAGTCGCAACTACAGAGAATGGTCCGTGTGGTGGCAACACTGGTGATTAACAGATGACTGCGCTTGACAGGTTCAACGCGGCAGTTTTGCGTGGCGCTGGGCTAACGTTTCTTAATTGTGGCATTGTATCACAATGTTCCACTGAAGGTGAAAAGGTGCTGGCGGCGAACCACCTCATTGTCATGAGCATAATGGATTTCACTTGTGAAACAGCGGAAATAGTTTCGCTGTGCGTGCGAACATTGAGCCTCTACGGTGAACTGCGTCCGAGTTATTACAAGTTTAAGAAGCAGTCTAGTAGACCTGACGTTAGACAAAGCAGCTGCTAATGTGTAGTGGATGAAAGGTGCAAGCTGTTTTGCTCCAGCCAAGGCTTCTAACAGTGTTCTTGGTAACTACGCGGCCACCTGCCCTTCTGATCGCACGAATTCAATTGAGTTTCGCTGTCGCGTCAAAATTTGAGTTCCCGTGCCATTCACTTCACTACAGAACCAAGCTGTGTCTGGACCAGTGTATATTGAGATAAAGCAAATTGTTAGTTTGATGGTAATAGGATTGCTCCTTACTTTTCGTTCACCGATCCAACGTGGGAACAAATCTCTTTTTAATGTTGATCCTGGCGGCATCCAAACACTCGCTTTTTCGTGTTAGCATTAGTTGATAATGAAAGCACATAGATGAAGGCACATTACGCATGCTTCAAATGTACATATATATATATATATTTGAACAAGCATACACGCAGGCTATGCACGCCCGTCCTTCACGCGCGCGTTTGTGTGCTTGTATATACACAAATGCGAAATCACAAATGTTCGGGAAAAGGATTACATAAACATATTTCGAGAATAATTAGAACTGCGAATTGAATGTAAAAGAAGCTTATGCACAAAATACAGTCACACACGAAACGCAACTAATTTCCTAATGTGCTTGGCTATACAAACAAAACTATACAAACCAAATATCAATAGGAGACTGAATATCAATAAGAATACACGGATGCTATTCAATGATGTACTCGCCGAGGAGAATTAGCTCTTTGCAAGGGAAAAGATTAGAACCAACTAACGTAGTGTCGGTCACCTTCTTTCCAATTCGTAAGTTTCACATTTGCAATTTTCTCCGTCGCGCATGGTCTGCATCCTGTGGGAAGTGATAGAAGACCATGCCATATTTCCACTGCAATGTCACGCATTGTGGTACACAGCAACAGTTATTAGACATCGCTTTCTCCTTTTTCGGGCTGGTGCGTATGGCATTGCGAAAATAAAGAAACTAAGCGTCCACTTCTGAACGCGCGCATTGTAGTAACAAATATCCTTTCAAGGTTGACCCTGTTTTGTCGGCTCCAAGCGTGGCTGCTAAAGGCAGCGAACGCTTACTTGTCGTCGAGAATACCACTTGCAATCTTTCTAATCTCATATTCGCAATTAATTTTCTGTCTCCCCTTCACCCGCTAACCTTCTTTTGGTATCAACTCTGTGGTCCCTATTGACTAGTGGTTTTCGTGAATTCGTGTTACGTAATCTGCCCAAAACCGTTTCTTTTTCTTGATTTCGACTATGACGTCCTTAATACCGCATTTGCCTAATGCACTGTGCTCTCTTTCTGTATCCTATAGTTACACCGATCATTTTATTTTCTATGGCTCGTTGCGACGCCGTCAACCTACAACTTATGTTTAACCGCCTTTGTATTCATTGAGGATTGTGCTTCGCAGGTATATACCGCAAAGATGCAGATGCTAAATACCAAGCCCTTAGGAGATAGTAGCAAGCTAACATTCATGACTTCAGAATGCTTGCCGAATATGTTCCACTCCACTCTTATTCTTTTAGTTACTTCAATCTCGTGGTTCAGCTCCACCGTTACTACCTGTTCTACGTACACGTACACTTTTACAGCTTCAAGTGAACTGCTACTTATCTCCAAGCCCTGTTTTAGTTCAAGGCAGTAGTACATCCCTTTCATTTTCTGCAGTATGATTCTGATACCTATCTTTCTGTTCTTTTCGTCTAATTGAGTAATCATTATTTGCATTTTTCCCCCTGAGTTACTCAGCAATGCGATGTTGTCGGCGAAGTGCAGGTTACTAAAATACTGACCATTAGCTCGTATCCCAAATTCTTTTCATTTTAAATCTTTGCATGCACACGGTCAATAGCAGTGGGCAGATTGTATCAACTTGTCTCACACTCTTCCTTTTCGGTATTCTGTCAATTTGTTTATGGAGCAGTAGGGTGGCAGTTGATTCGCTGTAAATATCTTCCAGCATGTACATATAAGCTTCGTACACACCCTCATTTTGGAGTGTCCGCATGATAACTGATATCTCTACTGAAGTAAATGCCTCCTCACAATCTGTAAAGGCTACATGTAGTTGTTGGCTGCACCCAGAGCATTTCTCTCTCACCTGATTCACTGTATATGTGCGGGCGATTGTAAAGTAATCGCAGCTAATACTTTGGTTGAATGATTTTTAATAGTGTCTTAAATCAGTTAGCATTTACCTTTGTAAATAGCTTTTATACAAGAGCAAGCTCATCGGCCTGTAATTCCTCAAGTTCATGTTGTCGTCTTTCTCATAGATTAAGATGATGCTAGTATTCTTCCAGGATTCTCGTAACCATCTCCATCAAAATACTTTTCGTAAAAATGGTGGACAGTTTTTCAAACAAAATATGCCCTTCATCTTTCACCTGGTCTTACGTTACCTCATCGTCTCCATTACCTTTCCCTCATTGCATGCTCTTCGAGGTTTTCCCGACTTTTCTCACTACTGCATAACAACAGTAGGGGGCTTTTGTGGGCTGCTATATTTCTGACACTCTGGTTGTAGTTGCCCCGCCTACTTTACAGATCTTTGTAAAACTCCTCCGCTACTTTAAATATTAGCTACTTTAGCTATCCTACCCCTATTGATAGTTACTTCGCCTACCTTGTCCCTTAGTGCATACATCTGGTTTTCGCCAATCCCTAAATTCCTCTTCGCTGCTTTGACACTTCCTCCACTTTATATAGCATGTTCACTTCTCTCCATGTTATACTTCTTACTATAGATAACTTATGTTTATTCATCATTTTCGAAAGCTTTGCTAGTTCTATTTTGTCTGGTGTGCTTTAAGCTTTATTATCTTGACATTTATCCATAAGGCTTTTTTTCTGCTTGGAAAGCTTGCAAGTGTCCTGTCTTATTACCATGCTTCAAACTTCCACTGCAGACTTTATAATAACACAATTCATATTACCATTTATTGAATAGACGTTAAGGCCTTTTCTTTCGATAAGAGCGGATTATCTGCTCTAAAGCCAGCCTCTGATTTCGTGTACTTTACTTTTCAGTGGTAGCTCAATTATTGGCGTCTTGCGGATCAGTTTCTCTCGTTCTATCTTCAAGTCTCGGTGAATTAGAGACCTTATCTTTCTATAGTCACTGCCTCCTTTTTTGCCAAGCACTTCACACCCTGCAGAATGCCTGCGTTCGCACTCATTTTAAAGTCCATTTCATTCTTACTTACGCCTTTAGGACTCCTCTAGGTCCACATATGGTTCACTCGTTTTCGGCAGAAGGTAATAAAAATCCGCCAACTATTGCGTTTCAAACTGCACTAATTACTCCACTCTGCAATTTAAAGTATCTGTACCATAATTACCTACGGTCTGGTCTTCAGCCTGCTTCTTCCTTACCTTGGCATTGAAGTAGGTCATCAGCAGAGTATGCGGTGCCTTGACGTTACTTATTAACGATTCGACGTCTTCATAGAAGTTTGAAATATTACGCCCACGAGGTAATGGTAGTAATATGCAACAAAATCAGCGCAATAGGCAAGGCATAGCTCATACCAATGCGTTTATACGTTAACCTCTCATTCCACGAGGTGAAATGTCTGCCGCCTTAAAAAAAATCGACGCCGCTACCTAGCAATGAATAAACCACAGATGCACACCAATGCTGTTCAACTTCACCTACGCGTGCATGAGCCAACGAGTGGACGCCACAAGAGACATGAACATATACGGAGAAAGCGTAAGCAGCTACCACGTCAAGCTCGCCTTGTGGAGCACAAGCCGAGTTCGACCTAGAAAAGTCACGTATTCTAACAAGGCGTGCAACGACATCGTATGCAAAAGAGTGTCAGGCGCTGGGGTTAGGACATTTTCGCCATCTCTGAGATCTGCTGTGGTTCCACCCTAATGTATAAACGACGAGATCATAGATAAAGCATCTGTATTTATTGTCAGCATTAAAACCTGAGCAAGACCACGTTCACTGTTGATTTAACGTTACCAAGTGCAAGTAAATATTATTTTCACATGGCCTTAGGTTCCGATTTTCTGTGTACGAAAGACAGATGTTACTGAATAGACTTGTTTTTACGTCGAAGATCGTATACTTGTTTAGAGACAGAATACTTACCGGAATTCCATTTCGGAAGACAGTTTGAAGACTAGGAGGACTGCCAGGCTAAAAAGAGGTATGAACGGCACTCAAGAAATAGATAGACACATGCACATAACTTCAGTTTTTTCATTGAATCAAGTTTTTAAAATTAGGACTTAACATTTGCGCAGCTACCAACATTCTGCCAAAGCCACAGTTTATGGGTGTAACATAGTGCTGGTGATCACTCAAAGACGTAAAAAGGCTTGCATTTACAAGCGAAAAATACCATCAACTTGAGACCTCTGGTATAGCAAAACAATAGTTTTGTCAGTAGAGCTCAAATTTGTGTACCATAGAGATACCTCTTCCGGCCTTTGTACTGAACAATTATGAAATTAGTGTTCACTGGGGCTACTGAAAACTCCGCAGCGGCTTTTAAACATAAGCATAATAACAAGAAATTGGTTTACGTTGAATATTCATCGAGGTGAAGCGGCGCGTTAGCTTGATGCATCGTATATTCAAAAGTGTGAGCCAGTTGAGCCATATGAAGAACGGAGGCTCCGAGCTGAACCAGTACGCATGTTTACCCCTTTTGTTTTTATTTGTCAAAAAATTAGGCATTCAATATAGCATTATAGTGTTGAAATGGATGCCTTGATCCTTTTCTTCTTTTCTGGGTGGTGGAAATGAAAACTCTGCTATTCATACATGGCACAGTTGCTGGAAGCACCAAAGTTGATTTCCGTGTTGCACCAACAGCTTGTCTTATACACGTAAATTCAGGTAAACTAGATGAAGAGCTGAATTTATGTTTTAATACGATAGTCATTGGTCAACACCAGTCACTTTCACTGAAGGAATGAAAAACGCGCAATGGTAAGATATAGTTTTATTTGTTAGGCACTAAATCCTTCACAACTAACAGACAATGCCAGAAGGAACGTAGAGGATGTTATTGTAAGAAATTGTAATTTACATTTGATGACAGGAACATGAATCAAAAATCTTTCCACCGTTATAATTCTAGCCTAGGACATTCAATTAAGAATTTCATTGTCTGCCGCTGAGCTGATGTGAACGTAATCTTTTCAATAATTTTGAAGGGTTTAGACGTGCATTTAAATATCTAAGCATCAATCAGGGCCACCAAATGCTATTGTGGCAAGAGCAAAATGCTTTTACTGCGATAGCCACAATATAGACACTCTCGGCTGGATTTTGCCGCCGGCACCACTGTTAATCACCCTTATATGTATACGTATTTATATATTGGAAACGCAAGAAAGAAAAATAATCGAGAAAAAGACCAAGCGTTCGGAATCGAACGTGGGACGTCTGAGTCATCATTGCGAGGCGTTAACAAGTGAGCCGTCGTTGAGCACCTTCTCTGTTCACACGGCACGCTATTTAAAGACAATTGTCTTGAAACTCGCTTAAAAATTTTGGTCTGTCTGTCTGTCTGCACGTGTGTGTTTGTCTAGCTTTAATGGTACCCTAAACGGCACCAAAGTTACCAAACGATACTCCGAATGGCCGACTCCATCCGCGGCGCCCACCAGTATTGCTGAAGGTTCAGTGTTCACAGTTGTGCGATCGTCAATTAGGAAGCAATTATTGCGCATAACTGAGGCACCATAACATCACGTCAATATTATGTATGTGATTTTTTACTAGAAAAGGCATACATAAGTAAATTTACGAATCGTAGTCTTATAACGCTGCACTGGCCATGCGACACTTGCGCAAAAAGGCAAGTGTTTCCAACGCCTGACCAAGATGACACGCTGGTGGCACCTAGCCATCGCCTTGCGTTCAACACCTTATCACCTCAGAGACGGGAGCGCACGGTGCGCGCCCTGTTTTCCATGATAACTGCCAGATAGTGCTCATGTCTCACGTGTGACGTGACTTGATGCACTCTTTCGCCTCCGCTGCATGCTCGAGCCACTCTGACGCAGTGCCTCCATATTGCCATTCACCAATTTTCTTGCGCAGAACACCAAATAAACGTTTTGTGTACTCCCTCCAGACGCAAACTATCGTCTTTCGACGACATTTGTGGTGTAACAAGCAAATACAAGGCCAATTTTTATCTGCCACTTACCACTCGTGCCGGCCATCTCGTAGTGGTGGGGAGTGGGGCTATCGTGTTTTCAGCCATACCAGCAAAATGGCGCAATGAGCGCGCGACGTCACATAATGTGGTGGCGCGCGCGCTTATCTCTCACGCGTACTTTGCCTTGCTTATGGAAGGAGAGCGATGCTTCTTCTCGCGCCCTTGCGGTGAAGAAGATCGTACATCTTGGCTCAATCGGGGATTTACCTGGAACATTTCTGTTCTAGTTACCGGGCGCACAAAGGTCACTGCGATCATTGGAGTCTCCGTTTCCGAAAAGCGCGCGCTTTTGTGACAGAGTGAAGTAACAACTTAGATGCTTATTTGCGTGCATTTTTACCCGTGAATACGTTTCGTGCACCATTTGTGCGTGAGAAACACAATGCACGCTCTGATCTGCTTGACATTCTGCGCGTGACTTTCCAATTTGTTGCTATCGCGCTCATTGCTTCGTCTTTGCCGCAAAGCTGTAAATTGTGTGTGTGTGTGTGTTTTGATTGATTTGAATTGTGGGGTTCAACGTCCCAAAACCACCATATGATTATGAGAGACGCCGTAGTGAAGGGCTCCGGAAATTTCGACCACCTGGGGTTCTGTAACGTGCTCCCAAATCTGAGCACACGGGGGTACAACATTTCCACCTCCATCGGAAATGCAGCCGCCGCAGCCGGAATTTGAACCCGCGACCTGCGGGACAGCAGCCAAGTACCTTATCCACTAGACCACCGCGGCGGAGCGGTGTGTTTGTGTGTGTGTGTGTGTGTGTGTGTGTTTGTGTGTGTGTGTGTATAAAGACAAGTGTCTTTTATTTTTTGTGAATTTGGCTGCAAAACGCGCTTATGTTTTAACAGAAGAAAAGGAAATGGTGGTTTACTATTTCGAGCAAACCTTCTAAGCATTCCTAGTGGTGGTATGGCACTATAGCGCAAATTTATGCCTTTTTTACTTGCTTTATTTCTTCTTTAGCGCTCATTTCTTCACCAAAGTAAGCCCCCGCACACTGACTTGTTCATCAGCATTCGACCACTGCCTCCCAATAACTTATTATGAGCTCACTGAATCATGAAAGCAAATTGAAGGCACAATTTTACTAATGCTGGTGCAAGCCACAGCAACGCAACTAGGCATCTCCCACTCTTTAAATATGGAGACATTAAGTCAACCTTTTTTGGTAAATATTAAAACAACATCACTCGTTCATTTTTATATGTAAATACTGTTGAACAACATTTGCCTGTGAGCCATTTTCCGTTCTTTTTCAGCTCACGTGCTAACTTTAATTCATACCTATTTTAATCAATCCACGCATTCAGAGATAAGTTGTAAGTAGAACTGTGACACATCTTGTAGTAGAATTTGTACTAAGTTATTGCGGAGGCCAGTGACAGAAGATGGTTCACAGGTCTTTTTGTGCTGTTTTGCTCCGTCATGTGTATATCAGACAGCGGCAAATACTTGTAATTCCATCGATAGTATCTTTACTCATACCTTGGAGATAATAAAGCTATTTTGTTCCATTGCGCCTTGTCCAGTTTTCACTATATGAATGATGGACGTTGTGCGATAGGTTTAATATACGCCAAATCACTTATTTTGGTTAGAGAAAGACGCTTACCATAACTCCACCAAAGTAGACACTGTCTAGGCTTGGGGGACTGGAAGGCTGAAAAAAAATACATCATTACACTTAAGAAATGCATACACACATAAACGAAACCTTGGTTGTCTATGAAAAGATAACAAAGGCCTTCAAATGAAGCAGTCGCATTTTTGAAGCTTCCAGTATTCTGCCTAAATAGCATTTTATGAATTAAGTATTTGCATCTACGAGCTAGCACATGTCAAATAATTTGCGATTTACAAGAAAGACGCATCACAGTTTGTATAGCTAATGCCAATCAGTACCTTTTTCAGGTTTCTGGAAAATATTACTCAATACCAAGGCTACCTTTCTGGGTGTCGTAGGGCGAGTAATATATAGTAAAAAGTCAGCTATAGGTTCAACAGTCCACAAAACTGTCACTGTTATGTGACCAGCTGAAATACGGGTGCACTGTAGGGAAGGTTTCGAAGCATTGTTACAAATTCCAGCTGTTGATGACTGTGCACCAAGTTAATATTATGAAAATGTTGTTCAACATCCAGCTTTAGATACTTCCGGTGTAAGTTCTCTGCGTTGTTTGGTTCCTTTATCTGTCTCTGGCGTATCGGTATGGAAAATGGCCCACGTAAATTGCCTCGATTGTATGACTCAAACATTAGTACCAGCAACGTTTTTTTTTTCAATGTTCGCCGTCCAAATTTCACGATGTGCAAGGCAGACGTATTATAATCGGGTTTTCTTTTTGCATACAAAAACTGCAGATTTTGCTTCGAAACAAAACGCTTACCGCACTTTTGCCAAAATGGACAGTGCTGAGACGTGGGGGACTGCCAGGCTGAAAAAAAGAATAGAATTACAATGAAAAAATTGATGCACACATGAAAATGATTTCTGTCGTTGGTGACATTCAGTCATCTAAAAATTAAACGCTTGCATATGTGCAGCTTCCGATATTTTTTCAAAGCCACATTTTTTTAGGAAACTATGTGCACCTACGCTCTGCAATATCCGAATATTTTTGCTTTTCACAAGAAAGACATGCTAGTGTTTTAATTGATATTGCTGCTACATATATACTTAATATTTCGGACAGCATTGTTCAACATTGAGGTTAATTTTGTGCCATGATACCAGCGTTGTATCATGCCAATTCTACATAGCCTTCGCGAACAGCAAAACCGCAACTTATAGGAGACTAGTTCAAATCTGAGTGCAATGCCTGGAACGTTTCAAAGCCTTGTTTTGTTGATTTACTGGAGATTCTTACGGAATCCGTCTTCTGGCGGCTCTGTAGCTAGTAATAAGGATGGGACAATGATAGCGTGGTGGTAAGGTGGACGAAGGCATCAATCGGCGTTTGTAAGATGAGGCTGATAATTTAGGCCAACCTGTGCCCGGAAATTGATAGGAGCAAACCAAATCTATTCAAATCATGCAGTAAGAGTGGTGAGGACAACGTTGACCGATGAGTGAACTGATCTGCGATGGTGTGCGTCTGCATTTATACATGCAACATGAAACACTGCAGATTTAATAGTGGTTCTCACGTAACCTCTCAAGCAAACTTTACCGTGGTACACGTTAAAGAACCCCAGGTGGTGAAAATTTCTGGAGCTTTCCACTACGACGTCTCTCATATTCATAATTATAAACCTACGGGTCAGAAGCCGAGTACCTTAGCCACGAGACCACTGTGGCGGGGCTACGACTACTACTTCTACTACTACTACATACATCGAGGTGCATGACCCATGGCTTGAGGAGCTTTGATTTTAAATGTTTCTGAGTTGGTCAATGTCGGCTTATCAGGCTCCAAAGCGCAACTCAGTCAAACTCCAGCCTGATACTCTACGCGACATTGTTGTATTTATGGGTGTTCCTTATTTTTGTGCTGTTGTTTATGGGAGCGGAAAATCTTTCTAGCTTCTTTAGTGTGTTGATGTTGGGTAGAACGGTGTCGAGCGACGTTGGTGAGCGTCTTTCATATACGAATTGTGGGGCGTCATCCGCACCGTATTATACATGAATACGTTGTAACAAAAGCCACGCACGCAAGGTTGCCATACCATTTCTTGTGTTGGGCGGTTTGCGCACTAGTCAGCATGTTAGTGATGGTCTTATTTAGACGCTCATTGTGGCCTTCTATCTGTGGTTCACAGGTGGTGATCTGTTGGTTGCTTCTTTGTTTGTGTCTAAGGATCGCTCATGTGGGATCAGCACTAAAAGGCTTAAAATATTTAGTGATTGTGAAACCTGGGGCTCTGTTACAAAAGGAATGGTCTCAATTAAAACTTTGTTATCTAGGTGGCACAATGTTTTGCTGAGCTGTTTTGGTATAGCGGGGCGGGCAGTGGGTAGCTACGTTAATCCACGTTTCACTGCACGTTGACATAAGGAAAGGCCCTAGCAAGTCTATGCCGATATGCAGAAGGGTCGACAAGAGGGATCGACTGGCTTAAATCCTTCTGACATTGTCCACGTTGTCTGGCGTTACTGCCAGTAACGAATCACGAAAAACAGTCACTTCGAAGGACGCAAAACAGAAGAGGCCCATGTACTGTACGATGTCAGTGAACGACAACGCACAAGTGCACCCAACTCTGAGTAAACGGGCTTGAAAACAGTAGAGCATGGCAATGTTGATACTTGTCCTAATAGACATATACCTTTACAACTTCCTTCGTCTCTTTACGTATCGCAAAGTGCTCTTTTCTACCGAAATTGTTTCACATTACTTTCGTTTTTTGCATATTTCCTTTCAGACCTACTTTCTGTTTTCTGTGTCCAGTTTGTAATCCTAAGCTGTAATTTGTTCACTGAGCTGACCAAGGCAATGTCATCAAGGCAATGCCATCAAGGCCTGTACCACTTTTTTGCGTTTAATTTTTATGCACTCCGACCACCCACGACGTATATGCTCAAAGTAACAATCACGTAGGTGTAGCCAGATGATTCGCAAGACTCGTCAGCTGACAAGAAACGTCAAAGTGGGAGTGCGATCACTCAGACACTGTGGAAACTTTAAAACCAACAATTTCAATTTTGAGTGAGAGAGGAAGAAGTTAGGACAGAATATATGCCAGAGAAGGACGGCTATCAAGGGCACTAAGGTGGCCTAAGCTTGCAAGTTCTGAAGTTCGGTATGGTGGTAGACATACGTAATTCTCCGAGCACAAGTGGTCATACTTGTTGTTACTAGTGCCACTGTCCGCCATTGCCTTTTAAGTACGTTCTTCACTTTGTGCCTGGTGAACGTCTTCTGGTAAGCTCTAAAAACATTAAAGGTAATAATACTTGCTTCAGTACAAACTACCAAATTAGGTTACAAATTGGTCAGGCTGGAAAATAGTTATATAAGCAAGCACGAACGAAGACCGTACGAGCCAAAAAATGTACGACGTGCCTGTATTGATCTGCCTTGGCTGGCAATGCGTTTTTAGTAGCTCAGCATTAAAATTAAGCATTTGCCTGACTTGAATTTGCACGGAAAGCTGGGCGGGGGGTGTATTGGAGGTAGAGACTAAAAAAAAGTTTTGCAATACAGTATTCACTCAAGTGCACAGACGCGCACAACGGCTGCTGTAAGTATAATACTAGTAGCGTTAGTGCGAATATCAGTATTAAAAGTAGTATTCACACAATTAAGGCAACTACTGCCTATCATTCACATTTCACAAAAGGCACACTCATATAGCAGAATATCTCTAACTTCAAACTTCCCGTTCCATAACCGTTGACGCTTCAAGTATATAATATAGAAACATTCATGTCATCGCTGGAGGCTTAGTCAGTTAGTCAGTACTATAGTGACCTGTACTGGTGCACTGTAGATTGAAGTTAATGTATTCTGATGAGAGTGATAGCCTTGCCTTGATGGCATCACCTTGAATGTTTTGTGTTATAGCCTCTGCCATGTCTGAAATTACTTCTACTAATCACGAAATTTCTGTAATTTCACACATTGCATATGTTGCTAGTAATATTTCGTCGTCTGTAGCCACACGTTCTTGATTTTAGGCGTAGTTTTCTGAACAACCTTAAGAACAAATGTGGTGAACATTAGCCTTGAACTGGCACTCCCATTGAAACATTGCAATAATTGGGTGTTGGTGCGCTAAGGGCCCCTCTGACACCGAACTGATATGGAGTGGTGAGTTAACCTACAAGAACACTGAAGGCAAAAAATTTCGGCGTGAATCTGCCTATGCCACTAGTCTGTCGACAGCGTTGTCGAATGGAATGATAAGTTGACGATCGCGTGTTATAAGGTTAGACACTCCATGCGGAGAATGCATCTCTTGATTAGTATCATACGAGTGCGAAGCACGCAAGGCAAGTCGTGGTGTTGATAAGGCTTCTTGGTGTATTGATGTGAGTTAGTGCTATTATGTTTGTTTGAGCTCAGGGACTTTAGTGCAAGCCCACATTGTATGTACTTGCATCAATACAATTTTGCGTAACGACATATGAATGGCTAAGCGAGAATTTTCACATTTCGGAGGAAGCCGATGGAAGAAAAGCCTTGTACATTGATGAAGAACGACCAGCCTCTTTGGAAGGGGCTTTTCACTTATCCGCTCGTTATCTAATAAATAAACCTAATTGTTATTGCTGTGCCTCGCCGCGGTGGTCTAGTGGCTAAGGTACTCAGCTGCTGACCCGCACGTCGCGGGTTTGAGTCCAAGATGTGACGGCTGCATTGCCAATAGAGGCGGAAACGTTGTAGGCCCATGTGCTCAGATTTGGGTGCACGTTAAACAACCGCAGGTGGTCGAAATTTCCGGAGGCCTCCACTACGGCGTCTCTTATAATCATATGGTGGTGTTGGGACGGTAAATCCCACTTATCAATTGTTATTTTTGTGTCGGGCAGTAAGAACTCCAATTTGTAACAAACGATGTCCTCCCCCTTTCATCGAAGAAGATGTATAGGTGACCCAGCACCTCGCTGCAGTCCCTTTTGTGGGAACTCGTGACCAGACCGTACGTTTGACGCTGGCTTTCTGCTACTTCTTATGGCAAATTATTGAAAGCTAGCGGTAACTTAGCCTTTGGTATTACGAACTTATAAAGCGACACAGCTGCTGGAATACTGGCTGTGCTCGATATATTCGTAGGTTCTTATTGTGGTAATATTGATAGAGCTATGGGTGTGCCTGATTCTGCAGTGTGATGCTGTTATCTTCGTTGCATTGGCTTGCTTCGCATTTCGAAGAGTGCGTTGGGCTCATGAACAGAAAAACGACGTGCGAGATGCCTTGTGGTTTTGCCGGTGATGACCTTATGAATATTTGAGATATAGATGTTTTCAATTTAAGAAAAACGACACTGAATGTACAGTAGAATGGCAGCAGGCTCATCAGTCACCGGTGAACAAAAAATCACCGTTGATTTGTATGTGTGAGTGTGAGGGGGGAGGGGTGCGCGTGTTGGTGCGTTCATATACGGATGCCCAAGCTTCATTGAGCATTCTAGCAATATTGCTTCCAGCTTGTGCAGGCTCTAGAAGGGTCTTAAGTTTTCATGTTGCGCGTGAATTCATTATTTTATTATAACGTCCTAAAACGGCTGTGAGTCTCCCTGGTGTTCCCTGCACTGGTTGTCGTGAACCTTCCCGGTCACATTACAACAATATTGTGGCCGCACATATTGATTCTCGACGCAGAAGCCGCCGTACTATTGAACAATATCACCTTTAAAAAAGCATCTAGCAACTCGGATTGATTTAGCAAAATGCATTATAATCCATTGGTCTATTGAAACAGGCTACTGAACTCAAACAAAATCAAATCAAATAAAAAAAAGATGTGGACCAGCAGTGTGAGAGCACGCTCACA